TCGGGGAACTACTCCACGGAATGTATACGGCCGAGGTCAGCAAGGGGGAAAGAGAACCGAGGTCAACACTATATTCACTTCTACAACTTGATATGTAGGTTCTCCCAGGTACAGCGAATTCACTTCACTTCATTCTCTCAAAAGCAGTGGTCACACCTCGTGATTACATTGTACGTGACGACGTCACAATGAGCTCCGAGACAGTTAGCAGAGCTGGCGGTGCAGTTTAATGTCAATGTATGTTGTATACAGCCCATATCTCATGGCCGGCGTGTTAAAGTACACATCATGAGACACGGACTACCGCCGCTACCAGATGGACACTGAGTCTGTGCCCAGTGTGTACTACAGACAGTAGGAAGGCGACAATCGACGACACAGCTGTTTACCCGGGACATGATACATAGGTAGCATATATACCTGTACCGACAACGTGTAGACCTAGGTGAATATAGACAGAAATGCTTGGACCATCTCAGGCAGAAACTCAAAACCTTTCAAAACCTTGCAGAAATTCTGCAGTGGTTTTCATGAAATCCCCTAAACAAAATTCAGTTAAAACAACCTATTTCTGAGAACGGAATCTACATGTGAAATGATAATAATAATCGCGTGTTGTGTGGATGCTGTTGAAGATGATATTAAAACGTGATTTTAGGTACTGGTGTATGGCGGTAGGTGATTTCAGATTTCAGCTTTCCAATCTTGATCATCAAATTAACATGAGCAGCCAACAAACAAACATTTAGTCAATACTGTGGTGATTATAGATCTAACATGACTTCCCAAACCGACATATAATCTGTTAAATACTGTACATCTAAATACTATCTGTTTTCACTAGAATGAATGTTTTGATGAAATTCAAATTATATCTCGTTGACGTCACGTGACCTCTCAAATGTGATTTACATCACGATTTCACAATGAATGGCGGATCATGTGAATTTCATCGCGAAACCCATTCGTGTTATTCACTGAACCAGCTGATGATGATGGTTATGTGGCATATGGCATGCACCATGCACGGCTTCCAACAACACCGGCTGCAGCTACAGCTACGACATGTACAGCATGTGTCATATGTACAGCCTTCCAGTTACTGTTATATGTATCCATGCGGTAGATATACGTGACACACCTACCTACGAACACAACTAGTATTGTCACAGATCCAGGTAAAATCAAGGTGACAGCTGTTCCGATGACCAATAACCTCCTTACGTCGACCAACGTCCACAGGTTACATGTCCCAAATTAACCCGACTCCAAGGCAAGGAAACAACTGGACTCCAGGGCAAGGAAACAACTGGACTCCAGGGGCAAGGAAACAACTCGACTTCTGGGCAAGGAAACAACTCGACTACAGGCCAGGGATTCAAACAACGCCGTAACGCGCCATTCATAACATGCACATCCACAAGTTCACATAATGTGCTGATCTAGATCCGTGACAAGACAACTCTCACCTGTCGTCGCTGATGTAGTCACCGGTCAACAACGTGTACAGAATATCAACACAGATCGGATCTACTTCTGACCCAACACGTTGGCTTATTACAATCCCTGTCACATGACAATCACTAGATGTTTGGTGGTGTAAGTAAACAGACCTACCTGCAGTCACACGTCCATGCCAGGCTGTATTTTACAGCCGGCGTTCTACACCACACCTGAGCTTCTGCTTCCGTCCCGATTCAGGTAACTCACGCAGGACAAAGCGCGCCTTCGTTGCCGGCACGTGTCAGGGGGGGATGCTCTGTGAACGCCGTCTATTGGGGATCGTCGAGTCAGTCATTCATATCGTGTTTTGGACACCGCCATCTATAGACATATCGACTACTATAGTCGGAGCCCAACGTCATTCATAAACTAGGCCGCCTCGTTATAATGCAGTTTCCGCGGATGGGACGTTGGAGGTATGTATAGAAATATTAGTCACGGTAAACTAAACGACGTAATAACGAGGAAGCTGCGTGTTTGGTACAAACTGAAAGCGTTGTGCTGATTAAATCATGGATTGGATGAATAATACGATAAGGATCAGAATAGGTTTACCTGAGGTTAGAGATCAAAGGATTAATCCATTAAGGTAATCCTACAGGCCCGAGACACGCTAATCCCATATATCATAGAGTTACCACATGCAAAAAACTAATCAATAAGAGAAAGTAGATAAAATTTACCTTGCTCTTTTTGTTGGAAGGACAAAGTTAGGAGAGTGAGTTGTGTTGGTCGATAGCACTCTACTGCCGTCGGTACTGGGACGTGTGTCGGTGTACCCGGTCTCTATGTAACCGGTATTGTGGGAGAGTTGCGGGTGCGGTCCTTACGTCAAGACATTTACACGGGTATGCACAGAATGACACAAATCAATGCAGTCAGTGTGAAAGCCTGGACCTAAACAGTATGATTCATGTACAAAACGTCTTTGAATATTTTCGTGAAATGCATTAATCATATATGGAAAAGAACAGGGCGTTCTGGTCCGGGTATAACGAGTGCAGGGCCAGAGAGTTCTAGACGTTGTCGTGACTGCTGTAGGAGACTCGGTGTTTCCAGTCTCACAGACGTAGGAATTCTGTTTTGTGTTTTGCTATACACATTCTTTCTCTCCCCACTGATACTCCGACACACATCCTTTCTCTCCACACTGATACTCCGACACACATTCTTTCTCTCCCCACTGATACTCCGACACACATTCTTTCTCTCCCCACTGATACTCCGACACACATTCTTTCTCTCCCCACTGATACTCCGACACACATTCTTTCTCTCCCCACTGATACTCCGACACACATCCTTTCTCTCCCCACTGATACTCCGACACACATTCTTTCTCTCCCCACTGATACTCCGACACACATTCTTTCTCTCCCCACTGATACTCCGACACACATTACTTCCCCGGCACCGCACGTCACCAACTTTGCTGAAGATCAGATAGTACCAATGTGCGACTGGCTGATGTCTCCGTGCCCTGATCTGCATCGTCGCTCACACTATTAACCACTGGTTTAACTACAATGTATTGACGCTGTATATAACTGCGGCCTAAAAGAACATTCTTTCTGTTCATTATTTATAGTTTTGGATTAAGATATTCCCTATTTCGATGATCTACACGTCCATTGATTAATTATTCAGTGTATCTGGTATTGTGCAACAGTTTGTGAGGTTGAATCAGCAGATTTACTGTTAGTTCCTCATAACTGTAGCCTAAAACCCTCGTAAGATGTATATCGTCCATTAATCATTTACCCAATAGTCAGATCAGTCAGTCCTTTGTGGTGTTTTCGCCGCGGGATCGATCTTATTGTAGCCTTTGAGAAACAGAACGGTAATCGAGTTAGTCATATAACGCTTGTCCCTGGTTGTGGTTTAATCGCTGCTTACAAAGCAGCTTATATACATAGGCACCTCCTGATAGTCTCGTTTGGTCCGCTTGGAATCTCGTTGAACAATGCGAGTAATGCAATTCAGTGCACAGGACTGAATATTCACATGCAGTCGAGGCAATTATATATGGTGGTAGCTTACGACTGTTGCTCCACCACCTTGTCCACAACCAAGCTGTATATATCTAATGTCACTAATATCGCGGGCCGAGACTGGGTAGGGTTGTAATGTAATTCTGGTGTGCCAGTGGGACTGTATAAAGTGGAAACTACAAAAGCGAAAAGCGCAGAATTTATGTCCTGAAATCTCATATAATTTAGAAAAGTGGTTGCTTTGATGTGTAAAGGTTTTTAAATGTTTAAAAAAAGAACATTTGCAATGCAATACAAATTTATCGAAACCAAATTCCCAGCAGTGTTTTTGTAAAAGTTTTATCAATCTATTATAGGAAAGTTATCTACAGCTTGATAGGGTTATTGAGGACTATATATAAAGCTCTCCCTCAGGCACAACAGATGTGAAACACACCTTAATGCGTGGGTAGACACAGGTTAAAGCTGAATACAGTTCGGGTGTTCGGCATAATGATGCAATGTTTTAAGCAAGTTCCAAGTGTGAGTGCCGTTGTGTTAAGAGAGAGAGAGAGAGAGAGAGAGAGAGAGAGAGAGAGAGAGAGAGAGAGAGAGAGAGAGAGAGAGAGAGAGAGAGAGAGAGAGAGAGAGAGAGAGAGAGAGAGAGAGAGAGAGAGAGAGAGAGAGAGAGAGAGGGGGGGTGTATTATATTAAAGTGTCAGCCGCTGTACACAGTAGAGACTTATATAAAGTACAAGGGTACTTTAGTTGTGCTGTAATTACATTAGGTTGAAACATCATGTACATCCACCCAGGCAGAGGTTGCTGTTTCTAGGGACACGTAAGACCATTCCCACGAATATGGACACCTGCACACCTTCACACAGACCCATACACATGCATAAACACAACCAACTACAAAACAGTCACATACTACAAACACAAGACACACTGGCACAAGCCTACCCGCGTGATACAGCACCACCAATCACCCTCACACGCAAGTATATCATACAGCCGTATAAACACTGCCATGCAATACAACCTGGCATACACATGCCAGAACCCAATACTCGTTCACAGAGTGTTAAACACAGCTAAACACGAGCTTATATTACATAAAGAAGAATCAGGAAGTGTATATTGCATCATGTGTCCTTCTCTGAAATATAGAGAAGATTAGTGCAGCAAGAGGAAGGGATTAGTGTAGGAAGAGGAGAGAATTAGTCGAGCAAGAGGAGAGGATTTGTGCAGCAAGAGGAGAGGATTGGTGTAGCAAGAGGAGAGGATTGGGTAGCAAGAGGAGAGGATTAGTGTAGCAACAGGAGAGGATTAGTGTAGGGGTTAGCAGGAAGAGGAGAGAGAGAATTAGTGCAGCAAGAGAAGAGCATTAGTGCAGCAAGAGGAGAAGATTAGGTGCAGCAAGAGGAAGAGCATTAGTGTGGAAAGAGGAGAGATTAGTTGTGCAGCAAGAGGAGAGCAGATTAGTGTAGGAAGAGGAGAGAATTAGTGCAGCAAGAGGAGAGCATGAGTGCAGCAAGAGGAGAAGATTGGTGCAGCAAGAGGAGAAGATTGGTGCAGCAAGAGGAGAAGATTGGTGCAGCAAGAGGAGAAGATTGGTGCAGCAAGAGGAGAAGATTGGTGCAGCAAGAGGAGAAGATTGGTGCAGCAAGAGGAGAAGATTGGTGCAGCAAGAGGAGAAGATTGGTGCAGCAAGAGGTTAACCTCCTCGCTCATCACACTGCAAGTACGTTGTTTGTTCATTTGATGTCATGGTGATACACAGAGGAATCACAATGGGTGTTGTCTGCCACAGATGTAATCATGGACAGCATGACAATTACATGTCTCTTAAAACTGGTCTCTTACTCAAACATTTTGAGTATTGCATAATTTGCTAACGGTCAGAGTTTTCGGACATATATAACGACCTCTATGTTGACTCATTGGACATCTATTAGACATTTAGACATCGGCTCGAGCAAGGAAATAGCATGTGTGTCCAGCAAAGGTGTAGCTGAAGTTGGGTTGATGCACTCTACCTTAACTAATAAAAAAATACTGTATATTTTGCCCTTAAGGTTGATCTTGTCCATTTTTCCACATCGATGTCTGAGATTTGAAGTTATCAATTTGAAAATCTAAATTAAATATATACTGAACATCATTGAAAATACACCACTTATAAAAGTTCAGATTATTAAAAGCACGTGTAAGGAATTGATAATTATTGAGTGGATAATAACAGATGGACGACTGACAAAAATAACAACACAGAAAAGACGCTCATTCATTGAAACGTTTCACAGTCAGAAAGGATCAAACACACGTGGGGTCAAATCGAAAAGTCAATATCGCGTGTGACCGCCATTTGCATTGACACATGCAGTTCAGCGTCTCCTCATTGAGTCAGTAAGCGTCCGAATAGAGTTCTTGAGGATGGCATTCCACTTCTGCAGTAGTGCAGCCTCAAGTTCCCGGATGTTTCGCATCTGTTGTCCAAAAAGACTTTGACCAATTTCGTCCCACAAGTGCTCCATGGGGGATACATCTGGCGACTGTGCTGGCCAATGAATAACCTGGATGTGTTGCTGGGCCAGATACTGCATGGAAGGTCTTGTTGTGTGTGCCCGTGCGTTGTCCTGTTGAAAAGTATGGACATCTTGGTGGCGATTGAAGACAGATACGATGTGATTCTGAAGAATCTGCTCACGGTAATAAAGGGCATTAACTCTCCCTTGACAGACATGAAGGCAGTCCTGTGATTGTAATTTATTCCACCCCAAACCATGACACTCCCATCATCCAAGAGTGGCCAAGTCCAAGTTGTCGAGCAATATCCCTGCTGCTGGTGCCAACCTGAATCATGCCTAGTGCACGTTCTCTTTCTTGAAGTGTTAACCTCGGCATCTCTGTCCTCGTTTCACAATCGTTAGTGAAGCAATGAGAATCGGTTCTCATACACCTGCTTTTAATATCACAGTCAGTATGATTTCAGAATGAAATTCGCGCTTTTTTCATGGCGTGGCTGCATGTTGATGCATTTTGGAATTAAGAGTCATACTGTGGACAAGAATTTGTTTCTAAAGCATTTTTTCAACTGGACATGCCTTTCGACTTCATGTTAGTTATATTCATTGATCATTGTCATGCTGAAATCCATCTTGATGAAAATATGAACAATTTTAGACTGGTGCGTTTTCAATGGCGTTCAGTATATTATAAACACCCCAATCTGTCAATTCCAAACAGCCACGTTGCCTTAACGTTCTACCATCACAGGACTTCGGGACGACCGGTTTTCAATTCAAGCAGTCAGTCTATCCGGAGGGGCTGTATTCAAGGAATTCAAGCAACGAACAACTTCTATTTTTAATTTGTTATATTTGACAGCCAACCCATGTCTGCTCTTACAGCCACAGTAGGGAGAGTTCTCCCAAAAACAACACCACCACAAAACAAACAAACAACAGCAACACACAACAAAATCCCCAGACCAAAATGCAAAACAAAGAAAAGAAAAGCCCAGTTCTATTTTGCATGAAATTTCTGCAATTATCCTTATAACACTGAGAGGTAAGTATTACAGATTTAAGTATTTTATTATGATTACACTTGAGTGTGTACAGGATTGTTGATTATAACGAACATTTATATTTGTATTTGAAAGGATTAATCTGAAGTCTTCCGTCTATCATCCCTTTTACAACGCGATATCCGTGACTAGGGCCACTGTGACACTTGCGTGACGAAGTGACACCGTGACTTAGCAAGCCCTCTCATTCCACTCTCCCCGCCTCCACACAACACTAGCGTTAGTTACTTACAATGTGATACACATGAGAACATCATGGCTTCGATAGATTACCCCCAAAACACTCAAAAACAGTTCTAGAGGAAGTCTTAGTGGGGCAGAGGGATTTGTTCAAAGAACATGACAAAGCGTGAAACCCGAGTCTGCACATTTGATATGGTGTCGAACCACCACTTGATACCTAAAGATGTTAAGCCATTGTTTTGTAAAGCATGTTCGACTTTTCACAATCAAGTCATGTTGATCAACAAAGAAAGGACAGTTCATGGCAGATCTTCTTTAACCAGTTCTGTGTAATTAGAGATGTTAAGCCCTTGTTTTGTAAAGCATGTTCGACTTTTCACAATCAAGTCATGTTGATCAACAAAGAAAGGACAGTTCATGGCAGATCTTCTTTAACCAGTTCTGTGTAATTAGAGATGTTAAGCCCTTGTTTTGTAAAGCATGTTCGACTTTTCACAATCAAGTCATGTTGATCAACAAAGAAAGGACAGTTCATGACAGATCTTCTTTAACCAGTTCTGCTATACACATCATGTCCTCAAACTGTCTCTTACGTTGATACATCTAGTTGGATGTTGACAGAAGCAACTAAACAGATTGGCAGCACTATCGCAGGGAATTTAAGCAGACTTCTAAATGTAATCTATGTATGAGTCGTTTAAATCTCATATCTGAATTTTCTGCAATACAAATTTAGAATACCAGAAAGTCGTTAACTTCAGGTACCTATTGAACAGAAACAGATTGAATAAATCACCACAGCAAGCAGACTGTGTTCTTCCATATCATTCAGTATGAGATATTATTGGCTGTGTTGCCGCAGATGATGGGTCCATCTAGTGCTGCAGCATGTAACAACAGTTCAAGTCAGGTAATTCACTCTCCACTGTGTGTCGTCTCGTAACACCACACCAATGTATTGTATCTAAAGCCAAGGGATACTGTACAACGTTAAATAGTCTCCCTGCTAAAGCCTAACTCGCCACATCAGTGATATAACAGCAATATAACAGGCTATCTATATCACATTACAAGATAACACACATCCCATGTCATCGCGGCTTACCTGCCCCGTAAACACACGTGTAATTACCTGCAGATGGAGGAGGGGGTTTCAGGAAATCCAGCTCTATTCCGCCTTCATTCAGAATTATCCTTTACAACGCGCTCTCAGGTGAGACAATCCGGCCACAAGCTGACCATTACCTGTTGTTACTCACATACAGACACGCGGAAACAATTAGCTTTGAACTCGTGTTTCTCTTTGATGCATAGCGACGGCCAGGTGTCACGTCTTACAGCCAGGTAAGGTCGGCTAAGGACGTAGGCAGGTATTTGACGGAATTATGCTGTGTCAGTGGTAGGAGGGGGCATGTGTATCGATACACGTGGATCTAACTATAGATGAAAGTGTTTTGAGCGGACTCACGGCGTTCAGGGAGACTAAAGGTCCGCCTTGTGTTTACCTGCATGTATGCAGAGAGATGCGAGTCATACCCACGTCATGACTCATTACACAGAAACCTATAGTCATTCATCTCACTGTTGCATATATGGTAATGTATATCTAATTATATCTACACCTGAGGGTTGAATTATATTATCTCAAAGCTCCTCCAACTGTGTATTGAGACAGTTAGCCCTACAACCCTGTAAGGTACAGTCCCGTAAATACAACCCCGAACAGCCCACTGCCGTATCATACAACCCCGAACAGACCACTGTCGTAACATACAACCCCGAACAGCCCACTGCCGTAACACAGAACCGCGAACCGCTCACTGCCGTAACATAGAACCGCGAACCGCTCACTGCCGTAACATACAGTCCCGGACAGCCCACTGTCGTAACATACAGTCCCGAACAGCCCACTGTCGTAACATAGAACCGCGAACCGCTCACTGCCGTAACATAGAACCCCAAACCGCCCACTGCCGTAACATACAGTCCCGAATCGTCCACTGCCGTAACACAGAACCCCGAACCGCCCACTGTCGTAACATAGAACCGCGAACCGCCCACTGCCGTAACATACAACCCCGAACCGCCCACTGTCGTAACATACAACCCCGAACAGCCCACTGCCGTATCATACAACCCCGAACAGCCCACCGTCGTAACATACAGTCCCGAATCGTCCACTGCCGTAACAAAGAACCCCGAACCGCCCACTGTCGTAACATAGAACCGCGAACCGCCCACTGTCGTAACATACAACCCCGAACCGCCCACTGTCGTAACATAGAACCCCGAACAGCCCACTGCCGTATCATACAACCCCGAACAGCCCACCGTCGTAACATACAACCCCGAACAACCCACTGCCGTAACATACAACCCCGAACCGACCACTGTGGTAACATACAACCCCGAACAGACCACTGCCGTAACATACAACCCCGAACCGCCCACTGTCGTAACATACAACCCCGAACAGCCCACTGCCGTAACATACAACCCCGAACCGCCCACTGCTGTAACATACAACCTCGAACAGCCCACTGCCGTAACATACAACCCCGAACCGCCCACTGTCGTAACATAGAACCGCGAACCGCTCACTGCCGTAACATACAACCCCGAACCGCCCACTGCCGAAACATACAACCCCGAACAGACCACTGTCGTAACACACAACCCCGAACAGCCCACTGTCGTAACATACAATCCCGAACCGCCCACTGCCGTAACATAGAACCGGGAACCGCTCACTGCCGTAACATACAACCCCGAACAGACCACTGCCGAAACATACAACCCCGAACAGACCACTGTCGTAACATACAACCCCGAACAGCCCACTGTCGTAACATACAATCCCGAACCGCCCACTGCCGTAACATAGAACCGCGAACCGCTCACTGCCGTAACATACAACCCCGAACAGCCACCTGCCATGACATACAACCCCGAACAGCCCACTGCCGTAACATAGAACCAGAAACACTCTGTACAGTTCCAAATTCTTATAATAATTCCGTAACATGAAAACCGAGTACAGTTTGATTGTGCAATAGAGTCGCTTACAGCTCAATGCCCCAATGTAGAACCCCTTACCGTTCAGTTCCGTAATCAACCAGTCGTTCAATTCTGTCATACACAACGCCGTTTTCCCGTAAAATATAACAAAGCTCTTTATAATTCAGTAACATAAAATACTGTACTGTTCATGCCCGTATTTGTCGGTGACATAAATTACAGCCATGCGTTGTTCAATTACGAAGTATGCAACTATGCGAAGTCCATTTAGATGGTTCCCTTGATTACAAAGTCCACCACCCAGAAGCCTACAGTAGCTGAGTCCGTCTTCAAACCTGTGAAGGATGAGTTTATGTGACCAGATGCTGATGCTTGACGGAATGTGTCAGGGTGTTTAAAGGAGCAACACGTTGACGTCAGAGAATAACCGGGTCCAATAATTCCACTGAACGTAGTACAGTGGCGGAGATGGTAGGAATGGCTCACAGAGAGTCAGTGATGACATCAGGCCTTCGCAAAAAGTCGGCAAGCATGGCACCATGTAAGATAAATTGTGACAGGGTTGACTCCTCTCCCTCCAGACATACTGCCCCACCCCGTACAGTACTACAGCGAGCGCACTTGGTGAGTGTCTGTGGGGTAGCTGTGGGGTACCCGTGGACAGCCCACTCCTCTGCTGTAAGTTGATACAACACACACGCTTGTGTCATTTGTCAGAGATAAAGCCTGGTTGTTTGAGGCCATGTTTACAGTTCTCTTGTGTCCCGTATCCCCTTCAGTGACAGCCACTGATACCATGACGTGTGTACACCTGGCGTGTGTACACCTGTTGGGACACCGGCCACCACGTCAACTACAGCATGGCCAATAAATATACAACCTGGCCCTGACCGGACAGTTATAGACTCCTTGGTTTTTCTGTTACGGGTGTTGCCAGTCTTCTACAACGAGCGGAGATAACTTTTTGAATTTGTACAGAGGGACAAAATGGCCTCCAAATGGCTCCAAGCAGTCAAGCACTGGCTTTAAAAGTGTACAGTCGAACAGAAGGTCACATATTACACTTGAAGAACATGTAAGGGTTTCACATATTGCACTTGAAGAACACGTAAGGGTTTCACATGTTGCACCTGAAAAAAAACTAAGCGTTTCACATGTTGCTATTAAAGGACAAGAAAGGGCTTCACATGTTGCACTTGAAGAACAAATAAGGGTTTCACATGTTGTTATTAAAGGACAACAAAAGGGCTTCACATGTTCTCTTAAAAAACAAGAAAGGACTTCACATGTTGTCTTATAGACGAGGGCTTGTCCTTTTCAGGTGTGGCAAAGTCGGCCCAAGTATCTGTGTATACGAGAACGTATAATCCCGTACTGGAGTGTACACCGACCTGGGCATACTAGAAGTGTAATATTCACTATAACCAGGGAGACTATATAACCCGTGTGGCCACGTTTAATGACGTTATTGTACAACACACCAAGACAGTGCCACCCTCCCTCCAACACACCCAGACAGTGCCACCCTCCCTCCAACACACCCAGACAGTGCCCCCCTCCCTCCAACACACCCATACAGTGCCCCCCCCCTCCAACACACCCAGACAGTGCCACCCTCCCTCAAACACACCCAGACAGTGTCACCCTCCCTCCAACACACCAAGACAGTGCCACCTTCCCCCCTAACACACCCAGAAAGTGCCACCCTCCCTCCAACAAATCCAGACAGTGCCACCCTCCCTCCAACACACCCAGACAGTGCCCCCCTCCCTCCAACACACCCAGACAGTGCCCGCCTCCCTCCAACACACCCAGACAGTGCCCCCTCCCTCCAACACACCCAGACAGTGCCCCTCCCTCCAACACACCCTGACAGTGCCACCCTCCCTCCAACACACCCAGACAGTGCCACCCTCCCTCCAACACACCCAGACAGTGCCACCCTCCCTCCAACACACCAAGACAGTGCCCCTCCCTCCACAGACCAAGACAGTGCCCCTCCCAACAACACACCCAGACAGTGTCACCCTCCCTACAACACACCCAGACAGTGCCCCCCTCCCTCCAACACACCCTGACAGTGCCACCCTCCCTCCAACACACCTAGACAGTGCCACCCTCCCCAACAAACCTAGACAGTGCCACCCTCCCTCCAGCACACCCAGACAGTGCCCCCTCCCTCCAACACACCCAGACAGTGCCCCCTCTCTCCACACCCTAGACAGTGCCCCTCCCTCCAACACACCCTCTCCAGACAGTGCCCCTCCCTCCAACACACCCAGACAGTGCCCCCCCTCCCTCCAACACACCTAGACAGTGCCCCTCTCCCTCCAACACACCCAGACAGTGCCACCCTCCCACCACAGACACTTCGTATGTCGTCAGTCGTACGGCCTGTCAGTGATCACACATCATGTGATCGTGCGGAATAACAGTGACTTTGATGATATAACCTCCTGTTTAAAGTCAGGAACAGTACACACTCTCGTGTCTAAACATTCCATAGTGGAGTACCTCCACTTACCAACCAATGCAGTGGAGTGGCATCACTCAGTCAACCTTATGTCTCCATCGTGTTTTTATTTTAAGTCTCCGTGAAGTGAATATTTGATAATATACAAGGGCTGAAATCTGAGACTGCGTCCTTGTTTGTTACTGAGAGCAGTTTAATCGTACAGCAGAGCCTGTTTATTGGTAACCCGATCTATCAGGAACCACTGCCCCAGTCGAGAGAGCGCACAGTGCGCTATTGACTGGCTGTCTCTCACAGGCATTAAAGAAATAAGCTCGACAATTTAATAAAGGCCTATTAGAGAGCGATGTTTGCATGCAGGTTCTTCTATAAAGTAGTCGATAATCCTCTTAAGATTTGAAGCTGTTTGCTCGCTTCACAATGAGTCTCAACACACCTTGTAGGTAGATAGCCTGTCACTTGTGTATCGTCCACGACAGACACACAAACGTGCAACTACAGACTGCCCAGGGCTCGCCCCCACTTACAACTACAGACTGCCCAGGACACGCCCCCACGTACAACTACAGACTGCCCAGGACACGCCCCCACGTGCAACTACAGACTGCCCAGGACACGCCCCCACGTGCAACTACAGAATGTACAGGGCACGCCCCCACATACAACTACAGACTGTACAGGGCACGCCCCCACATACAACTACAGACTGCCCAGGGCACGCCCCCACATGCAAGTACAGACTGTACAGGGCATGCCCCGACGTGCAACTACAGACTGTACAGGGCACACACCCACGTGCAACTGCAGATTGTACAGAGAACACAGTGCTCCTGTAGATGGTCAAGGACACACTCCCTCGTGCATCAGAAGATGTCGGATCACGAATTTCGTGACGCTTTGCTTAAGAGTTTCTAGAACGATCGACAGTGACATCAATGATATACCATAACAACCCACACTTATTTAACCAAGATATAAGTCAGTAATATTCTTCAAGATTCTATGATACTGACACTGAGACGTCTAAGTCAAAAGAAATAATTTCCTGTAACTAATATTCCAGCAGTACAATATCAGGGGGTGGGCCTCACTCTTTGTACCCCTGTTGGGACTCAAATCCGGAACAGGGACAGGTTACTTAAACAATATAGGGAATCTATGTCCAGGTGCCGGGCCTAGATGTCATGTCCTGTATCAAGTCCGGATCACCACAAACTGATACGTTGGTTGATACGTTCCATAATGGGGGGGTGAGTGAGTATGGTTTAACGCCGCTTTTAGCAATATTCCAGCAATATCACGGCGGGGGACACCAGAAATGGGCTTCACACATTGTACCCATGTGGGGAATCGAACCCGGGCCTTTGGCGTGACGAGCCAACGCTTTAACCACTAGGCTACCCCACCGCCCCCCGTTCCATAATGAGTGGGGCTGACAAAAGCTGGCTCAGGTTGTAATCAACAAGAGGTTGATCCCAGACAGACCATCTGCTTCAGATGCTGCTGCTTGTTCTCTGAGAGGCATTTTAGAAGTTGTGAAGATGAAGGAAAACTAAGTTCTATGGATGGTCAACTTCTTTATTGCAATAAAAAAGTTGACTACCCATATAACTTAGTTTCCTTCATGCCGCAGTTTGCCTGACCAACCGGTCCTACAATACAAGTGAGTGATCAGTTTGGGTGTGCCGCCTTACTGCACAGTGTTTCTATAACAGTGATCAGAAACCTGTCACTACACAGGGCATAGACTGGTATTTGGTGCGAGCCCGCAGCACGGCTATAGTACTGACATACCAACATCATAACGTAGTGAGTGAGTGAGTGAGTAGAGATTAGCGCATCTTGAACAACATGTCAGTCATACACTGCCGTGTCATCTGGCTCGGGGGTGGGATGGGGTGTGTGTGTGTGTGAAGCAGTGCCTTGTGTCTTAACACCCTGGTGAAACCCGGGGGGATACCGTGGAAGCAAGGCCTTGTGTCTTAACACCCTGGTGAAACCCGGGGAGATATACAGTGGAAGCAGCACTAGAGATTACAAGCTGGTAGCTTTTGTCATATGGTACTTACAGTAACCAGGGTTGTTGGGTTTCCCTCTGGAATGGTATTCCTCGTTCCGCGCTGCTCCTACAACAAGACACAATACAACACTATAATCTCATCTACTGTGATACTCAGCCTATATCTGATCAGTGGGGTATGGGTCGAGAGGTAGATAATCCTTCACATGGAATGGTACAGACTGCCCGGCAATCGGTAGTGACTACTGTTGTGTCAGTACATGTGGTCTGGACGGCAGGTACCCAGTAATGACCGAGACATGAACATGTTAAAGTGGGCACCACGTTACTCAGGGAACTGGTTACGGTAGCTTGTGTCAATACGTGTATCATACACCTAAACGTATGTAACAGGCAGGTAAATGTGTTGTGTAGGTACATGTAATACTAGCCTACATATCCTTATCATGAGAATTGCCGGTGTGACACTTTCAGACTTTACATGAGAATTGCCGGTGTGACACTTTCACTTTACATGCAACGACATGCACAAGGAACGTGACCTCTTGGTGAATGCGGACATGGTTTTCAACTCTGTGAAGTAAAGTGTCTACTGTTATAGACTGGCTGTACACCAAGACTGGAAACACTTCCATCAGACCTTTTCTCCGTCCCTCCAAACATTTAGACGTCAAAATACAACTTTTAAAAATGCGTACATTCTCAGGGTAGTAACAGAATCTTGTACGGCAGCCATCTCACAACCAAATGTAATGGTGAATAGTAAACTTATACATCAAGCCGTGATAGGATTCATTCACTGACAAAACAAATAGAGTAGAGACGTTACAGAAACAAAACGCTCCTGATTTTCGACTGACATCTCTCCGGGACTCCAAGCGTTGTAGTATTTGTCATAGGTAAAATCGGTTTGTGTATATATCGGACCGACAACGATCGGTCACGTCCAAGCTGGTTCATCTCAGACCTAAATCAAAGGGACTCCGTGCTGTACATTGTTCTCAAGCAACCGGCGTATGTTGTGCGGGGCAAGTGGATCGGGTGATCCCGGTCGGTATCTGCGCACATATCGGGTCATCGTGACCCAGCGGACTGGGATGGTGCGCACTATATATATCACTGGCTTGTCTGGTTCTTACTCGATGACATACGGGTTCCCGTCATGCAGTTGGAATGTGGATGAGGACAATGTTGTTCACCGTGCAGGTATGTCCACGCCCAGATTTCTTGTCATCTCAACATAGCCTTAGCTGGAAGGGTACCGCTTGCAAAGAACTGTAATAGGGTGTGGTTCATCATACAATCACATGGTCCCGGATATGATGGAGACACTTCCCACTTCAAGCTTACCATCATTATGTTTGCTACAAGAAACTGGATCTGTCTTTATGTGTAATTCCTCTGACGTAAGAACGTCGCAAGTCTAGTGTCCTTCTACCAAGGTCACCGTGACCTAGATCGTCGTGCATGGAGGGATTAGTAAGCGATATTGCTGTTTGTACGGTGTATTGTCATTTTCTCTCCTCCCACAAGGTGTTGACAGACCGGGTTGAGCAGCGACAGTGGAAATAGGTGTCAACCAGGTGTCGTCTTACATTGGCAACAGAGAGGTGTTGAAACACTGTAGGTCAGCAGTGAATCCTCGTCTCCCCGAGAACAGTACGTTGGTTGTAACGGAGAGTCATGTGGTGGCGAGAAGACAACTTAAAGTTCAGAAATTTAAAGCCTAATTTTCGTCTGATTTCGCCTTACAAAGATCTCGGTCTACAAATAGGAAGATATTCAAGAGTATTAATCCATAACAGGCGACAAAATAGCATTGGTGGCGAAAGTCAGATATTGGTCTTTGGAAAGGGCGCAGTGGTTGCGATTAAACACTTGCAATGTGTCACATCTTCCTTTATTTTCTTGTAAAATACAGAAAAACTTATTTCTTATATACCACTGAAGAATAGTAGAATGTCAATTGAAAATCTTCGATGGCCAAAAGGATGGGCCACTGGGGATCCATGCTGGTAGCAGAGATACCGGAAGTTCACGTGGTGCCGTGTATGGTGGCGTATCTATAGGCCGCTATGATTTTGATAACCTTTCTGTGCTTTTGTATTGGACAGGGAGCCTGGCGGGTTAATCTTTCGATCGTCTCGGTTCCCCATGAGTATAATTTTTACATAGTCATATTTGTGGGTTTTGCCATAATCGGCGTAAAACCGTAGTCATTCAGGTGAGACAGCAGGTCATTCTTTACAAAGAGGTTAGTGTGTGAACTCAGAAGCGTTGACACACAAACTGACACCATGCCTTGAGTGAATGAGTGATTTGGGGTAACGTTGCTTTAAACAGTATTCCCGTTACATCATGGCGTGTCTGCTTACTGTGGGAGGAAAACCCGAAGTGATGCAGGTGCTAGACGTTACGACTTTGATGAAAGCCACGAGCCACTGTACGTTGCTGACAAACCTAGAAGAATAACCGGGAAGGACCGGAATTCCAACCTGTGATCATAGTTTCCTGGCGCGCCCAAGGGGCGGAACTCTGCACAGCGAATTGTGTCGCCGTAGACTGAGCTAAAGCGACCTCCTGTCATGAAACTATATCTGTTCCTAATATTTTCTGAATTAGCCGACTCTTGTTTACCAACATACACATTACTGATTGTGAAGCCACGCGACCACACACGAAGACACTACTATGAGTGATACCCTCGAAACACTTATCTCAAACATGTCATATTTGTACTGTGAGCTTATTTCCATATTTACGTGATATAAATATGACATATTGTCATAAGAACAAACACATATTGTCATCCCGGGATATATCAAGTGTTGACAATATCAAGTGGCTTAGGGCACTGGGTTTGTATGTTTCCACAAAGCCATGGGGGATTACAGACAATCAGCTGCTACCCACACTGCCTGTACGCCTGGCTCAACTGTCCACTTGTCTGTATAAACATGACGGACAACGCTGGCAATGAATGTGATGAAATGATGGCGGCACGAGTGGTCACGCGCAGGATGATGTAGCTGACGTGCATGACGTTGTCTCAACACATCACGACTGTAGGACTGGTGACCGAAACGGCGAAACGGTTTTTATTTTCCGCTTGTTATGGGTAAGTGGCAAGAGACTATGTTGATAAACGACGTATTTACCCCGCCAGAGACCGTTTGACTTCAGTTTCTTCTATATGTAATAAATCCTACACAGGGTCAATTCGTGATTCACGATTGGCACATATATTTGATACACGGTGTATAATGACGTTAATGTGAACAGGACCCGTGAAGATCCGGGGTAGAATAGGTCTTCAGCAACCCATGTGCTTGCCATAACAAGGCGACTATCTTGTCGTAAGAGGCGACTAACGGGATCGGGTGGTCAGTTTCGCTGACTTGGTTGACAAATGTCATCGGTTCCCAATTGCGCAGATCGATGCTCATGCTGTTGATCACTGGATTGTCTGGTCCAGACTCGATTATTTACAGACCGCCGCCATATAGCTGGAATATTGCTGAGTGCGGCGTAAAACTAAACTCACTCACTCACTAATGTGAACAGAGATCATACATGGCTACGTGGTATCTGGTGTGAGCAGCACACAATGTTTGTTTACATTTCAGGTCTCCATAAAACACTTTATGACTTACCGAAACATAATATCATATTTACGGAGACGTTATCAATACCAAAGCAACACTCGTGACTTGTGAAGGTCGACCGTGCACGTCTCACGTCACGTCAAGTCAAGTCACGTCACCTCTGCCACACAACCATATTCAGTTACTGCATCTACGGAATCGACACCAGTTGGCTTCAGAAGACATTTGAGGTCCACAATATACGAACTGAGACAGTCAACTATGCACAGATGAGTCCAGGTTTCGTCTGGACAGCTCTGACGGTCGTGCATGGGTCTAGAGATGTTCAGGAAAACGTTTGAGCTTTTTGGGATGGAAGTGTGAAGACACTGACGGCATACATTTCTATACACCTGTATATATGCCTCCCAGTCTTTATTCTGTTCAACACTTACTTGATAACGAACCTACCCAGAAACGTTGCTCTGACTGTAATAAAGAAATTGTTCATCCATATATTGTTATCCTTCCTTACTGCTCCAACGTGCCTCTCCAAGAAGCAATCCATATTTGTTAGTAGCAATGAAAAACCAGTATGGATTTTAATACGTTTAATACGGTAAAACGTTGATTAAACGAATTACGTTATGTTGTTATTTGAAATCACATAACATTTACATGACGTTTAATGAAACAGAGACACAGCCTCCACCAGCATGTAATACAACTATAGAAACAAAGGTACACAAGGTCCTATCTGATGGTCCTATCTGATGGTACACTAGGAAAAGGCCAATAATACTGTGTATTTCGCAAACACATGTCAGACTGAAGAAACGACGTGACGCTAGATCATCGTGACATCTATGCCAGATTAGCAGTGATAAATTGGAATAATATAACGGAGTGATACCCGTCTCTAACCACTGATAAGACAAATATGGATATCCACGTACTGGACCGTGAAGTAGTGAGCACCCTAGACTAACAACTAGTCTCTGAAATGAACATATTTTACTGAAAAAAGTTCATAGTAAAAAAAAAATATATAATGAAAAGGAGCCCTGAGACTTTCTTCTGAGGAAATCTAGACCTGCCACATTTTCTAGAGTTGTGTGGGCTTTCTTGGATAAATTTGCTTCAAGGTCTGTACGACAGATTATGAGCACCCTAACTGTGGAGCTACTGCATGTGACACTGTGTCTACAATTGACCACCTCTCCTAGAGGCATTAAGAAGTATAGTTATGAAGAGATTAATGGAAAACAATTTTTTTATATTTCATAAGTGCGATGATTCGACACAGACCATTGTACCACTGTCCAGCAGGCGTGTGCCCAGTTGTTCTGAATGATAATCTCCCCTTGTTTACAGTGCTTTCAGGCATCTGATACCAGAGGGGCCAGCCATCACATCTAGAGGACAGATCGCTGGATCATGCGTAACCTTATAGGATTATCTCCCCTTGTTACATGTAACCCGTGGCGGACATGCCAGATTATATCGGGGTTGCTGGAGGTCA